AACCATCCAGAACCTGTGGACTGATGAAGGAACAAGTCTGAGTCAGAAAGACGACGAGTTTAGTTGAACTGCAGCGGTTCTGTCCAGAGGAGTCAGAGATGGACCAGAAGCTGGTGGACGGAACCAGAAGAACCCGACTGAGGAGAACATGGACCTTTAACCAGATGTTAACGTTTCTGTTTGTATGTTTATGACCCAGAAGGTTCAGACGACTCAGTAAATCTATGAAAGAACCAAAACACATGAAGTTGTTTCTCCATCGCAGACTTTCTGGAGCCTCGTTCATGTTTTTCTTTGTCACTAATTTTATTTTTGTCTCCACAAATCAAAAAACAAAAAACCAAAACACAACATTTGACAGAAATCAAACCCGTTAGTTCTGCTGGAGGGTGAAACCGGTACAAAGATCAGTGGATGAAACCCGGACCGGTTCAGATGCTTTAAAAAGGTCGATGCTGCTGTTTGGCTGTGAAGCGGGTCATCAGCGTTTCTCTGGAGAGGAGGAGCCGCGGAGCTGCAGAGCGGCGAGCATGACGCCGCTCCGTTGTTGTTCTGATGGGATTAAAAGTCAAGGCCCGTCAGTACCGCCCGGCGCTGCACATGGTGCCGCGGAGACGGGAAGAGATTTCTGCTTCCCCGTCAGTTTCCAAAGCTGATATGTGCAGCGTAAGGAGAAGCTCTGCTCCCATTGTGTGTCACTTAAACACGTATTAAGTCTAAACCCGAGCCAGAACTTTCCTGCTGCTCCTCGACGTTCACAGAAAACTTTACAGAAACTGTGACGTAACGGAAAGAGAATAAATAAAAACACCAACCAGCCAGAACCCTGCTCAGCTCTTACCTCTGATCCAGTGTTTTATTATCAAGCCGTACTCTAGAACCGCTTCCACCAAAACCTTCCTCTAGAACCCTCCAGCGAGTTTCACAAACATCTTCACCGTTTGTCACTTTACCAGGAATCGTCACATTTTCCACCGTCCCTGAACTACTCACCAGGTCGCCTCAGTCAACGAGTCTCGGTTTAAAATTCTCCCAAAAATCGAGCGCTCACCCGAACCGGATTCTGTAAAAGTCGAAAAATTCTGAGATTATTGACGCAACCGAGAAGCCGTCAGTGACTCGGCTGTGAGCGACGGTCAGGTGACGGAAATTCAGAGAGTTTTCAGCTGAACTGCAGCCAGAGGTCAAACAGAGCAGAGAGGAGACGACAGAATGGAAATGTGAGCAGTAAAGGATGCAAAAAGAGCACAAAGGGATGCAAAATGAGCACAAAGGGATGCAAAATGAGCACCTAAAGAAGAATAATGAGCACAAAAATATGCAAAAAGAGTACAAAAGATGCAAAACGAGTGCAAACAGATGCAAAATGAGCACATTAAGATGATTTCTCCTGTTTTTTACACATTTTTGTGTCTGCTGTGAACCATTTTTGCACCTTTTTATGTGATTTATGTGTTTTTGTGTCGTTTTTGCAGATTTTTGTGTCGGTTGTGTCTCTTTGCACCGTTTTGTGAGAGTTTTACATCCTTTGTTGGATCTTTTTTGTGTGTTCGTGTCAGTTGTGGATCTTGTTGGATGATTTGTGTGTTTTTTGTCGTCGTCCTTTTTGCACTTCTTTGTGTATATTTGTGAGTTTTTGCTATTTTTGCAGTTTTTTTTCCCGTCAATTTTGGATCTCGTTGGATCCTTTTTGCATCTTTTTGTGTTATTTATGGATCTTTTTGTGTTATTTTTGCATCTTTTTGTGTTATTTGTGGATCTTTTTGTGTTATTTTTGCATCTTTTTGTGTTATTTGTGGATCTTTTTGTGTCAGTTTGTGTGTTTTCTGCATCTCTTCGTGTCGTTTCCAAACAGCCGACACACTAACGAATGAACCGACTTCGTGTTTCTTTGGATAAAAACGTGGGTTTCTCAGCGACACGTTGTTTTTTCAGGCGGCAGGTTTAAAAAGCGGCGACCTGCTGACCCGAGCTCATGAATCACCTCCAGCCCGTGAGCCGCGGCCTGAAAAAGCCTCTTAACGCCGTCGATGACGAACGCTCTGCCGCCGTTTGGTTCCGCGACCCGCTAATTGACTGACTGATGGAAAATGGCTGCTTGGGTTCGGTTAGCGATCGGGCGGCGATCAATCAGCCGCAGCGAAGGAATGAACCGATCGGATCGATACTCGACCCCGAGGCTCGGCTCGGCGCTTAGCGAGCGACGTAATGATGAAGGTGAACCCGGACGCTGCAGTTACGCAACCGAAGGCCTCGCAGGAGAAACGACTTCACTTAGAGGACGAATCGCTCATCAGGTCCAACGGCGGCGTCACGTTCTGCAGCTTTGGTTCTGCAGAAGAACAAGAACAGGAACAGACTCCTGTGTGTTTAAAAACAAGTGGTGGAACAAAAAGGCTTCGATAATCAACAACAACAACAAAAGATGTTTATAGAATTTTTCCGTCTTTAAAAGAAGTTTTTCTGTATTTTTGATGTAAAACATCAATAAAAACACGTAAATAGATTCAGAATTTACACGTCTGATGCAAAAGAACTTGAAAAAAAGTTGATATTTATATTAAAAAATACATTTTACTTTAAAAAGGCAAAAACTTTTCCACATTTTTCAGTATTTTTTCATAACGTCAGTGAAACGACATAAAACAGACGCACGTTTTACACCTCGAACGCAAAACAACATTAAAAACGTGACTTTTAAACAGCCAGTAAATTTTCTATTATTATTATTTTTTAATTAGAGAAACCTGAATGAGCTTCACATTCCTATTTTATATCTATATGTCTGGTTTTTCTTTTTTTTTAAA